ATAGCAGCTAAAAAGAAAAAAAATAAAGTCAAAGCAAACATTGCACAGCCCCACCTGGACCTGAGAGGGTCGTCATCTGCCTGCCACAATCAATGCAGTGGTCTCAAAATGAAATGCTGTACCAAGAAATCTCTGTTTTACTCAACCTGTGCCATCATTAGCACAGACACAGGTCTCTATTACTCATTTTTTAAGAACCAGCTCTATTCCTACGAAAGGGAAGAGCGAGGTGGTATCTGAACCTACCATCAGCTCAAGTTTTGCTTCTGACAGATATCCGAGTGCTGTTAGTGGTGAGAAAACTTTCTCTGGCAATCTCCACCATGGGCATTTTCTTTTTTGGAGATGTGTGAACGCTACTGTGTGGTATTTTTTTGCCACAACACAACATCACACCACAATAATCCAGCATGCAGGGCACTCCTAATAATGTCACCTCAAAGTAGCTCCTTCGTAAGGAGCCTTTAGCCACCCCCAGACCCACCCCGCTCCTCCTCACTCCCTCACTGAAAGGAATTTGCACATTATAGAAAAGTACTTACAAAAGCAAACACAACAGGCTTCAACACAGCAGAAAGCCAAGCAACGGGAGCTTTCTAAACACAGAGCTCAATTGTAAGCATTCACTCTACCTTGCTCCTCCTCACTGCCTCTTGCTCAGTCAAAACCAGAGCCTCGTGCTCCTCATTCCGTCCAGGAGCAGGACACCTCAGCAGGGATGAGCCAGGGAAGGAGAGGGCACCCTGCCTGGCTGCTGCCTCGACAGAGCACAGCTCCACGCCAGACAGCCCGGTTTGCTTTCTTCCAGGTTGTTTGGGAGCCAATGAAGCTGCTTGAATGCTGGGGAACTCTGTGTTCCTGCGGAGGCTTATGACACTTAGCTGGAGGGGCAGGGAGCTGGCCGAGCCCGCAGCACCCTCTTCTGTCTAATGCACTCTTGTGCAGCCAGCTCGGGTCACTCTCCATCTGGCACTGCACACTCAGCCCGATGAAACATCACCTTCTGGCTGCCTCCAGCTTGGAAATGCTCAGGAGGCTAGGAGGATTCGGGGTTAAAAAAAAAAATTCGGCAAGCATTTAGATGAGTCAGCCCTGTGGTTTTTATGAGGACAGACAAGTGCTTCTTGGGAAGGCAGTTCGGCTAAAGCAGAATTGTTTTTGAGCCCCATCTGTGTGCTGGTAATGCCTAGAAGCTCTGTTCTCAGGCTGCAGCACTCCATTGCCAGGCCCTGCACAAACAATGGGGCTGCATTTCCTCCTGGCCATTCACACACATTCGGACTCTCCTGGAGGCTCTCTGCAGTTTGTGTGGCTTCCTGCTTGGGAGCTTCTCATTTTCTTCTGCAGCAACCCCACGCAAACAATTACTGCCTATTTTGGTGCCTTATCATGAGATGCTTCAGAGCTGATTAGCTTGGACTTCCTTCCTCCCATCAGTAGCCTACTCCTATATTGACGTTCATTTGCACTAATTTGATAATATCAGAGAGCAGAGGAGCTCTAGGAAGCATTACAGTGACTCGAAGTGCACAATTTGGAGTTGGCAGCAGCACTACTGATAAGAATGAGCTGTTTCTCCTCATGCCCAAATCTCACAAAGCAGCTACGCACAAGAGGAAAAACAGACCTTGGCAGGTTCTGAGTCAATGCTACTTCAGTGGCCCTAAACTGGACCCAAGTGGCATGAGGCAGCAGATCCCCTGGTAAATAAGCTCTTCCCAACTCCATTCCTGTGTGGTATTTCCCACATAAACTTGGCAAGAAAAACGATTAACTCAAGTGATTAATTTTAGGTAAAAGTCTCAAGGCTACCACCTTTCCATAACAACAAAGAGATGCAGGCAAATGAATTTTACAGGCACTGCATCATAAATATCCCTCACTCAAAGCCTCTGAGTTACAATTATAGCAAATAATTTCCTATTTCTGAGGTGTTTTTTTGTTGTTTTTTTTTTTAAATCAGAAAAAAAAGAGGGGATTGCTCATCCCAAGCAAGCCAGGGAACTGACGTCTGGCTGATGGACAAAGAAATTCAGCTCTCTTATGGAAACTTAAATAGGACGGATCCTTAAATGGATGATAAAAGTAAATCAAGTGATAAAACCCAGCCATGTCTGACATCCCAGCTTACTTAACAGAAGAAGGATTTAATCTTGACACACTGTCCAAAGAAGAAATTACAGATTTAATCCCAACCAGCTGCCCTCTCCAACCATATTTTACTAAAGTACACGTATTAATAAATTTGTGATGCTGGATCACTATACCACAGCCTCAAATCCATCACCAATCCACTAAGATGCTCTTACTGATTTATCCATAATTAACACATCCAAGAAATTAAATCTCATTTATCTTACCAGAAAGCACCCAAAGAACCAGTTGCTGTGACAACTGCATGTAAAACCTCTAACAAACTTAATTAGAATCATGCAAGCTCAAGTCTGCAAGTGACACCAGAGCCCATCCTGTCTCATACTGCACATGTAACTTCCCAAAAAGCACAGTTATCAGGAACTTATCAGATCTTGATAATTGATAACTTGATGATTACTTCCCTGCCTTCTCCATTCACAGAAAGACAAGAATAAAAACAAGCAGATTTACATTTACAGTCAATGTGAAAAATGTTTATTTGGGAAATACATCCTGTATTGTTTCAAACTACAAAAAAAAATTACTCCCACAAAAGGAGGAGACTTTTTAGCTCAGCATGCAATGCCAGTTACATGTAACTTTCTATCTACCAGCAGGTCAGGCTCCCACCAGAACTTTCTTCATTCACTCAAACCACTCTGAACTGCAATCACTGCTCTAAGAACAGCAATTTCTAGTTAGAAACACTTTGTAGAAGAGTGATATTGTCCCCTTTTAACATGATCCGACCTGCAACACAGAAAGGAAACAGGGGATTAGAGAAATCCCAGAATCCAAGAATAACTTCATGTTTTCAAAAAAATATCTCACGACAGAAGATCCCTGCAAGAAGATGCCCCTACTACACAGGGGGAGGGTTGCACTGAACCCCTTTCCTGCTGGCAGCCCCACACGGAAAGCAGGGCAGGGCAGGGCCCACACTCACAATCCACTCTCAACTCTCAGTCACCATCTCTGCTCCAGCAGCATGCTGTCCCTGCTAAAATCTTGATCTAAATCAAAGCATCCCTCATCACAGACAGTTTTTATCTTCGCCAGCAGTGGTAAACAGTAAATACCACCACTCCTGCTCCAGCCCAGAGTTGACCCAGCAGGTGTGAGAATTGCTCAGGCTACCAAGTTTAGAAGCAGCCAAAAGGAGTTTTGACCTGATTCCTCCAGACACCTCAGCTGCACAAAGACAACATATGAAAGATAACAACTTGTCTCAGGCACAGAGAGATTCTCCTTTACATTCAGCAAAATCACCACCTTTTAAAAAACAGCAGAAACAAAGACTGAGCCACCACCTGCCCACTGTACTTCCAAACCAACGCTTGGCATGTGTTTTTACCTTCAAGTGCTGCTACCAGCAAGGCTCACCCAACCAGCTTTCACAGCACACACCATTCAGGCTACACAGACATGCTGACATACCCAATTGCTTCCTTGATTTTGTTTTGGAGTGAATCTCCTCTGCATCATCCAGCACCAAGTTCATATATTCATCAAAGCCCTAAAAATCAGCAGCAAAAGCACTCAGTTCAGCAGCAGCAGTACAAACTATCATTAGTTTTCCTAACACGGGCTGGACATTGAGACTAATCATTAGAGAAGTATGAATAGTTTTTTCCCTTGCACTACCTTTTCTTGGTAGCAAGCAAGGGGGGGAATTCATGGGGAAACCAACAGTAACATGAGGACATGTTGGTACTCACAATGATGCAGCCTTCTATCCGCATGTTCACCTGCTCATAAAGCCACACCTGGATCCTGGACCTCTGCAAAACGATGGGGGTGAGCAAACTGGAAAACAAACACTTCAAGCAATGCTGTTCTTTTCTGTGCATTAAGAAAGGACCTGTTGCTAGCAACAAGAAATCTCTGCAACCAACAGCCACCTCAGTTCTGAAACATTCCAAGGAGCAACTCCCAAACGCAGAACCTTGTAGGTGTTGGGCTATTGGGTCTGTGCTACAATAGAACACGCGTTTTGAAACAGCCACAAAGGAAAACGGCTGCATGCAAGGGCAGTTCCCGTTACAGAGATATCAGTGCAAAAGGGGAACGGCTCTTCCCATGCAACAGAACAGCACCACTCCTTCGTCCAATGCCGAAGGGCTCCGAAAGCCACCAAGAAGCTACAAACCGAAATGCGAACCCCGCCCCGCGGTACTCACGTTCTGCAGGTAGCGGAAGATGAGGTTCTGAGCGCGGCGTTAAGGACGGAACGACTCAGAGATACGGCCCACGACCCACAGGGCCGCTCCCACCCTCCGCTCCCCGTCGGCCCCGTTCTGCACACCCCTCCCCGGCCCCGCCCCGCCGGAGAACCCGCCGGAGAAGGATACGATGGGCTGCACCATCACCTTCTGCACCTTCTGGCCCTGCCCGCGGTACGCCATGGCTGCTCCCGGCCCGCCGCCACCGCCACCACACGCTCCCGCCGCCACACGCTCCGCCGGAAGTCGCAGCGCGCACCGGAAGCCGCTGAGCAGGGCGGGAGCGCGCAGAGGATGCTGGAGATTCGCCCTCCGCGGCCGCTCTAGGAAAGCGGGAGGACCGCGTCTCTACTGCTCCCGCCGCGCTCGGATAGATCGCACTACTGCTGTCCCGCACCGGGTTAATTTAAAAGCGCGGCCGAGAGCTGCCGGGGCGAGCAGCACAAAGATGAAACGGAAGCATAAAATATTCACAGGAACAAGGGCATACACAAATCCCCTCCCAGCCCCTCTACGCCCCGCGCTCTACCAGCCATCCCCCCCCCCGCAGCCTCGTCTTATGGCCCCGCCCACCGCTCCCGGCAGCGCGGTGACGCACGACGCAAGGGGCGGCGCATGCGCAGTGGCGGCGGCAGCGGGGCCATGGCGGGCGAAGCGCCGCTGCCCTCGGCGGCGCGGGCGCCCCCTGGCGGCGGGTCTGGAGCCGTGGCCGGGCCGGGCCGGGCCGAGGGCACCGAGGGGCTGTTCGTGGTGCTGGGCGCCGGGCTCGCCGCCGCCAGCCATCCGCTGCTCTACGTCAAGCTGCTCGTCCAGGTCCGGGGTTTGGGGGGTGTGGGGGGGTGGGGGGGGGCTCAGACCCCCGTTTGGGGGCAGGGAGGAAGGCCTGCGGTGTTGGCGGGGGGGATGAGGGCATCCTGCGGTGTGGGGCATCTCTATGGGGTGACGGCCTGTGTCGTGATGGGGAACCCCTTCCTCCTTACAGAGGGCTGTGGGGTGAGGTGTGAGGACCCCCGTGTAAAGGGAAGCCCCGTGTGTAGCAATGGGAGCTCCTTATAACGTGTGTGTGGGAGGGGGGAGTGGAGGACCCCCTTGTGGGGGCAGTGGGGGGGGGCACAGGGTGTGAGATGGGATGGCAATCTGTCACCACGATCCCTGTGTCACAGAGATCCCAGCTGTCACTGAGAGGATGGAGGTGCCTATAAGCTGGGGAACGAGGATATTTCTGCATCAGGGACGGCTCTGTAACAGGGAATGGGAAATCATATATAACAGTACAGAGCCCTTTGTGTGACAGGAGTGAGGAGCCCGTAGAATGGGACAGATGAAGATACCCACACCGTGGGGATTGCTATATAACAAAGGATTGAAAACCCTTCTAAATCTTTATATGACACTGTGGGTCATCATCCCTTTTCAACCTGAGAACCCCTCTGTAATAGGGACCCTTATAAAATGAGGGGGATGAGGGCCTCCTGTACCCCAGGAACCCTGTGGGACAGGAAGGGGATTGCCCATGTCACGAGAGCCCGGTCTGTCATAGGGTGATGGAGGGGGACGCAGCCATTCAGGCAGATGGGATTGAGGCCACACGGTCTGTCAGGTTCAGACTGCCAGAACTGCACTGGGGATCTGCTCACAGGGTTTGTTCTGCAGGTCGGGCACGAACCACTACCTCCAACTGTTGGAAGAAATGTATTGGGAAGGAAAGTACTGTACTTGCCTGGCTTTTTCACCTACGGTGAGTCTTCCTGTGGCCAACCCATGCAGACTGTGCTCTGGCAGGGCAGAGTGCTCTCTGTGCCTCGGCTGCTTCCCAACTGACAGCAGCCTGGTGTTTTCTTACCCAGCCAGACACATTGTGAAAGTGGATGGGAAGAGAGGCCTCTTCCGTGGCCTTACTCCTCGCCTCATCTCAAGCACTTTATCAACCATCACCAGGGGGAGCGTGAAGAAGGTAAAGGTCGGCTTCTCTCTCCATAAATCAGCTTGCTGGGGCAGCCAGTGCTACTGCAGCAGAGCCACAGAGGCTGCACATGCTTGCAACCGGCCATGGCTGCGTGTGCTGTCTCCAAATAGTCCTCCAGGACAAAATGAAAAAAGTACCCATATCCCCAAAACTTATTTTATTGGGAATCTTAGTTTAACTTGAATGATAATTTGCCTTTTGTCTTTGGTAAGCAGTTTTGTGACAGTTTTCAACCATTTTTACTTTCCACCCACCCTTCCCCTGTCTTTCCTTTTTCCTGGATTTTTTTTTTCCCCTGCATTTTAGAGCACAGCTGTTCATGGTTTTCCTCCTCAGAAGTCAAGGGCTTGCAGGTCAGCATCTCCATCAGTTTTGACCATATGTTTCTTCTCTTCCTCCTCAGGCCTTTCCACTGGAGGACATGGAACACGTATCTAACAAGGATGATGTGAAGACTTCCCTTAGGAAAGTGGTGAAAGAGGTGAGAAATGGATATGCAGTGTCAGTGAGTGATGAGGGAGACCACACTGGGGATGTGCCTTGAAAGCAGAGGCGGTTTAAACTGTGGCTTGTGTGTGGAATTACTCGTGGAGAAATTCCAGGTAAAAAGGCTGCAGTATTTAGTAGCCACTGTATGCAGATGTGAAATATTTTGTAGAAATAGAGGCTTATCACAAAAAACAGATTTAAAAGCAGGTCTGGGATCTGAAGTGGGTTTAGCTACACTGGGAGAAGGGACCCAATCTGCACAGGAGGAGCTTTTCATGCCACTGTTCCATTTTCTCCCCAGACATCTCACGAGATGATGATGCAGTGCGTGTCCCGGGTTGTGTCACATCCACTGCACGGTGAGTCCTGTCCCTCTGCCTGTCCTCCCCAGACCAAGGAACCCTGCCCTGACTGAAGACAGCCCCCAAAACTCTGATAGAGAAGTACATCACATAAACAGAAGCTGCTTTGTATGAAACCACAGAACAGATGTGGGTCCCAAGTATTGTGATGGCTGATGCTCAGATTTGCCACGAGGATCTGACCCATAACTACATACTGAGGGAGAGAACCAGTATGTAACGTGCCTTGCACTGATGAGGGCCATAGAGAGGAGCTGATCTGCATGAAGAAAAGGGATGGCAAAAAGATTGGGTTACATTCTCCTTTGCATCCATTGCAACCCAAACTCACTTCTTTCTTTCCTCTTAGTGATCTCTATGCGCTGCATGGTCCAGTTTGTCGGCCGGGAAGTCAAATACAGGTGAATGGCTGCAGTTCTGGAGAGTTTGGGCACAGAAAAACACAAGCCATGAAGTCAGGCCTGCCTGGTGATCCCACGCTGTGGGGGATATGGTAATCCAGGAGGTCTGGGAGCCAGAAAAATGAATCTGAGCTATGTTTAGAGGGTGGATGACAGTGGGGTGAAGGGATGTGGGAAGGCTGGACCTCTGTCCCTGGAATCCCTTTCGGTTCAGCTTTGTGCCAGTGGGTGTTTTGGTGGCTGCAATGCACCTTGCTAATTACTCAATGAGTTTCCTGCCTTTTTGTTTTAAATGCTAATAGAAAGGGAAGCTATCCCTTTCTATTAGCATTTAACAGAGACAACCTCCACATGCTTATAGCTCTTCTCCTTTCTTGGCAGTGGTGTATTCAGAGCTATTGGCAGGATATTCAAGGAGGAAGGGATCCTGGGATTCTTTGTGTACGTGAGTTGTTTGAATATCTTCTCCCATAGGTGCTGATGACCCCCTGAGCTCCCTCCTACCAGTAACCTTGTCTGACTGCAGGACTCTCACATCACTCCTATGAGCAGAGATTGAATCTGTGCCTTTGACAGAGCTCCAGTTTGACCATTAAGTTTTCCTCTGATCTTATCTTCAATCATATTTGTAGAGCCCAGGGAAAACTCAGTATTTTTACTTAGCTTTTACCCCTCCCACACTGCTCGTGCTTCTTTGTGTTTCAGCAAAGAAGCATTTAAAGCATTTGTTTGTGCAACAGGCAGCAAGTTCAAGTGCAACAATGAGGCTCCTTGTTGAAATAAGAGCCAGGGCCTGGATAAGAAGCACATTCCTCTGAAAAGCACCATGGCTACTTGTAATGAACAGGTGGTTCATGCTGGCAGCAGGTTTGCCCATCTGATAGGAGCAGGACATTGCACAGTACAGGAGCACTGCTGTCCAGAGCAGCTTGCCCAAAGAAGCTCAGACCCCATGTGTGAAGCATGGTGAACTGACAGCATCACTAAAGCAGAGGTCCAGCAAACACCTTCTTGCTTCAATTCTTAATTAACACTTCCTGACTTTTTCTCACATCTATAAGACAGAGCTTCCTGCTGCCTCTGCTCCTGCTGGGGAGGTAGCTTGCTTTATTACTTCAATAATGGTAAAGGCAGCTCTGAAATTTCAGGAGGGGCTTTCAGGCCTGATGTGTTTGGCTCTGGAATCACAAAATCTGAGCTTTCAGATGAAACATGAACACATCAGGGAGAGGTGAACAGGGTGCCTCACTATTTTTCCCCAAGGAGAAAGAGCTGGAGGTCTACAGAGACCCCCCTTAATCAAGTGTCACCACATCTAACTGTTGCAGCCTACAGCTGTTCTGCAGGATCTGCAGCTCCACATCACCACTGAATACCACTTCCTCCACGATGCTCCCTGAGCTTCAGCCTCAGTCCCCTCTCCTCCAGCTCCCTAAAAAAGCAGCCTGTGGAAGGAGCTGGCTATATTCCCTTTTTCCAATAAAATAAACACTGTTGGTAGCCTAATTAAACTTAATGGTTCACAGGAAAGGTTTTAACACAATGCAAAATGTCTCAAGAGGGCTTTGAAGTTATGTATGCTCTGCAACTCCGCTAGGAAATCACACTGCCACAAGGGGAACACAAACTACATCTGCAGGACCAAACTGTTGCTGTCTTCCTCTCAGCACTCCTAATGCCATCTAAATGCCCTTAAAATCATTGAGGACCATTTATTTCAACCTCTGTGTAGCCATAACAGTGGCACATGCTCACTCTGAGGGCATGTCAGCTAGACAAGAGGATATTTCTGTGGATGGACTTACTTTGCTTCCCCTGGTACCTGCAACAGTCTCCTGCTGCAAGCAGACCAGGACCAGTTCTTTGGGCTCTGAAATGCTCTTGACAATAAAATAGCAAGTGGAGCAGACTGGTCCAGAGTATGTTTTCCCTACTGCTTTTCTACTGCTGCAGCAATCAGAGCAGGAAACAAAACCGACCCCCTGAGGTCCACGAGAGCTCCTCCCTAAAGCCTTCCCTTCTCCTTTCAGTTCCTCCCAAAATAAAGATGCATTCTGGGGAGTGGGATTCCTCCGTGTTGGCAGAGGAAAGGGAGGGCTTGGACCCTTCTGCACCTCACACCTGTGTTTTTACCATTGCAGAGGTTTAGTCCCTCACATCCTGGGGGATGTCATCTTCCTCTGGTGCTGCAATCTCTTGGCTCACTTCATCAACACCTATGCAGTGGATGATAACGTGAGTGGAACTGCCCAGCAAAGGGTTTGGGAATCTGTACCAAGCACTTCGAGCTGCAAGGCATCAGTGGGGAGGGGAGACTAACACTGAAATAGACTAATCTCAGGCTCAGAGGGATGTCACGTAGCGACAGGGGCAGCCTGGTATTATCCACCTCCTCCATAATCCTTTGGCTTCTCTTTTCAGTTCAGCCAAGCGTCAGTGATCCGGAGCTACACGAAATTTGTGATGGGGGTATGTAGACAACTGCCACATCGTTCCTCTGCCTCCTGCTGTCTGTGGGGTGAGAGCTCATGGTGTGGGGGCAAAGTGGGTGCGTTTCAAGTCTGTGCTTTACATCTAAAGATGAGGATAACTTAACTAACATGCAAAAGTTAGAAGTCCCGCTTTTGTCACAAACGTCAGAGATGCTAGCAGACTTCTGTGCTTTCAGATTGCAATGAGCATGCTGACGTATCCATTTCTTCTCGTGGGAGATCTCATGGCAGTGAACAACTGTGGGTATGTCCGTCACACTGAGATCTGATGCTTTCCTTCCAGTCTCTTGTTGTCTCAAGCCTTTACAATTGTAAAGCTTCCATGCAGAACCATAAACTATATGGCACTTTGCATAGTCACCTGCTTTCCCATCCCAAGTTACTTACAGTGTTAGATCAGAGGGCACAGGCAAGCAGGATGAAAGCTCAAATGGAGAGGAATAATTGGGAGAGTTGTGGTGGTGCAGCCTGATCTGAACTAGACCAGAGGCAGAAAGGATCAAAGGGAATATGCTGGCACCAGGGAACAGGCATGAAGAAATGCAAAGCTGTTAATGCAGCACAGGGAGACAGGTGCAGGTAGGAACAGGACCAAGCAGCAGTAGCTCCTTCACCTAGCCTGCTTTCCCAGTTCTACTGCTTCTTGTGTCTTTCTGTGTGCGTGCTTATGGGAATGGGTTTGGATCTCACCAACTGGCATAATGCTCTCTTGGTATCTGCTCCTTGAAGGTGTAGATATAGCATATAGTCCTGCACTCTTAAGGTATTCAGGTAACACTCCTTGTTTGTACGCTCCTGGGGTAATGAAATTACATGATCCACTGCAGTGTAACAAGCTGGTCATTTGGCCTTCAGCCCAGTGCAGGCACTGTGTCTGTGTCCTCACTTACACTTGTGTTATCTGTGGATATTGTGACAGCTGTACAGATCAGCTCAGCTATTTTTCATTGCCATGCAGGTTGCGTGCCGGCCTCCCTCCTTATGCTCCTGCATTCACATCCTGGATCCATTGCTGGAGGTATCTCAGTAGCCAGGTGAGGGAGCAAGGCACACGCAGTGCTTTGGGTTCCCTTCACTCCTTCCTGAGGGCTCTGGCACCGCCTTCTGGTACCTGTGCTGCATTCTTGATGTCCTCTGTAACTGTTTTCATCCTTCCAGTTACAGCAGTGGTACCAGGCATGGCAGTACTGGTGTGTTCCTGTTACCTTAGCTTGCAGCCTCCAACCTCAGGCATTGCATAAGAGCAAAGCCCCACAGCTCTGCCCTGTCTGTCAAGCACCCTTGATAGAAATAGCTGACCCCAATGCTCCCAGGGTTGAAGCCCCACTTTCTCTTCTGTAGCAAGCTGGGGTGCTCAGGGCTGGCAGCCCTGCAACAGACACATCTCATTCCTTCCCTGCTAACCTAACAGCAAAGCAGCACTTCAGCATGGAAGCCCTAACCCCATTGTTTTCCTCCTCAGGGGCAGCTGTTCCGTGGCTCCAGCCTGCTCTTCCGCAGAGCACCCATGCAAGCAGCCTGCTTCCCTATCGACTGACCCCAGCTTGCAAGGAGAAGTACAAACTTGGACTCCTTGAAGAACCCTAAGCTTGTTTCCATATGTATATTTGTTCTTTTTGATCCAAAGTCTGTGGTGCCAGAACAAGACACCTCCTTTCCAGCAAGGCCAACCACCAGTTGGCCTGCAGTGATCTGGCTTCAGGCTCCAGCTGAGTCAAAGCCCCTTCCTCATGGCTATCTCGATCAGGACGCATAGGAGAGAGAGCAGAAGGATGTTTCTCTGGTCCAGGCTGTGAATCTGATGATACTGGGAAAGCCTGTGAAACCAGAAAATGCCTGGATGCTAAAGAAACCAGCCCCAGGATGCAGGGACAAAAGACTGCTTCGTTCTGCCTAAGCTGAGAAGCGGCAAAAGATCCAGGGCTGCCCTGCTGGGAAAGCAACAACAGCACAACCAGCTCCTGCCTTGTCTCTCGTGGAGAGGGCTGATGTGTGTGGCAGGTAGCTTGTACTGGACAGAGTCAAGACTGAGACATATATATTTCAGGGTATCTAAACATTAGGGAGCAGCCCAGCTCCCTTGGGCATGAAAGGGAAATAATAATTTCAGAACAGAAAAGAGAAACGGTCCTACTACAATGAAGTACAACACATGTCCTTAAGAGAAAGGTATGAATTGACTCCAGGACAGCATCAGAAGATGGAGAAGGCACTTGTGGAAGGATGTGTGTGTCTGCTGTGGGAAGGCCTTTTGCAATGGGAAGAGTGCATTTAGGATGCACCTCACAGCCCAGTGAAGCTGGGTGTACTGCAGGCAGCGTGCACGTTTCTAAGGGAAGGGTTTGGTCCCTGGTTGGATCAGCCCCTGCTCAGGTACAGTGTTTCTATGCTGCATCACGTGAGCATCTCCCACCCAGGGTGGCATCACCACTCCACTGATGGACAAACACAGAGCCCCGTTATGGTGCTGGGCTGTTGGGAGGTGTTGATTTGCTAACTGCTCCAAGCAGAAGGGTTTGTCTTGCAATAGAGGCACCAGGCCCATCACTGTCTGAAGCAAAGGAATAAATCTCAGCCAGCCAAAGGCTTGGGAACAGAGCCACAGCCTTCTCACACATGCAGTGACACGGCAGGCCCTTGCATGGCAGGGCTCACCTGTGACAGCAGTGCAGGATTTATCCTCAGTTCCCAGACACAGAATTACTGTTGTTCCCCTCCTCCCCCCC